GAATCTGATTACAAGTATTAAGGGTAACGGGTAGCGGGACCCCTATGGATCCCCATGGATACTAGTAGGCTGGTGAATGAGGAAAAGTAATTGTGAAATGATTGAATTGCAAGGGCGTGACGAGTATTATGTTACACAGTTTATATGATTTCATGATTATGATAATGTTATTGCTTTCGTATATTGTTTTATGAATTTCACTGAGGTAAGTGAATGGTAAAAGGTTTTATTACTGATAAATGAGTTTATTGTAAATTATGCTCCATTGGTCTTTTTTGTGTTTTCTACCCACCTTTATCTCCGTGACGGTGAGATATCGTGATGTCCTTACTAGACTAGTGTAGCTCATTCCTTATTTAATCATTTCAGATCAGGAAGACATTGTTCCCGAGACCGTTCCGCAAGAAGACGACGAAGGGGACGCCTAAAGACTCCAAAGTCATATTCATAGTTTACTTTCGAATTTCTCTTTTAGTTAGTTTGATCTTTTATATTTTGAGCACGTTTTTGGTTTTAGTGTAAGGGATGTTAATCGAATTTTGACTTCGCTTCCGCATTTGATATTTTTAATATACATTCCATTTTAAATTTCCAGGGCCGTTACAACAATAGAGATTACTACATCCACACTCGACTTAATAACCTCATCCGCACCTCTCCTCCCTCACTCCCGATCACCTCATTCAACTGATTCTAGGAAAAAAAAAAATACAAATAAAATTGGTCTTGCTTTACCATATCGAGTCAAAAACTCTAAATTCCCTTACCTCTTGCCTCTATTTCCTCTCCCTTAGCCACAACTCACTCAACTCCTCCGGTCCTTCGAATTCTCCCTGCGATTTCACTCTTCCTCGTTGTCTCCTTCACTTCTCCCCTGTATCTCCCCCGGCCGCTCTCTTCTCCTCTTTCTCTCTTTTTCTTTTCTTTTTCTTTCTTTCTCCTTTTTTCTTCTTTTCTTTTTTTTTTATTTTTATTTTCTCAACCTATTTATACTTACCTTGTGGCTCATCCCGACCTTTCTTTTCCCCAAATCTAATCTACACCGTCTATTTCACTCTTCTCTATCTCTTTAATTTCATTTATTTATTTGTTTCTTTATATATATATATATATATATATATATATATTCTCAGTTATTACAACATCAGCAGATTGAAATTCAACATTTAAAAAAATATGATAAACCAAGCCTGAAAGACTGAAACTTTGAAAGGGTATCTCAAGTTCTTTCTTTCCAAATTCTTAAAGATTATTCCTATATGAGATACATCAATTCAGTTTTACAAAAAAACTAGCCTAAAAACAAATTTCATAATTAAATCCTGAATACAAGTATAAACCAGTAAATATTATAGTTTACTCATCCAGAATCAACTTTCAAAATTTCCAAACTCATCAAATATCTTTCAGACGTTCAAGTTTAAACCCAAACACCAAATGCTTGCATTACCTGCAACTGAACTAGATCCATTTTGGGGAAATCACGATGACCCAATGGCACACCCTTCTGCTGGTTTACTGAAAAGAGTATCATGTCAAGTCTACTTGCAGCATAAACTTCATAAAAGTTGCTTGGAAGAGATTATTGTTTCTGATAAAATTCAATTATATGAGATACATCAAATCAGTTTTCCATAAAACTAAACTTACAAACAAGTTCCACAATTTAATCCTAAATACAAGTATGAACCAGTAAATATTATAGTTTACTTATCCAGAATAAACTTTCAAATTTTCCAAACTCATCAAACATCTTTCAGACATTCAAGTTTAAACCCAAACACCAAATGCTTGCATTACCTGCAACTGAACTAGATCCATTTTGGGGAAATCATGATGACCCAATGGCACACCCTTCTGCTGGTTTTACTGAAAAGAGCATCATGTCTAAGTCTACTTGCAGCATAAACTTGATAAAAGTTGATTGGAAGAGATTATTGTTTCTTTACTGACTTAAATCCTATTGTAATAATAGTAGTATAATACCATTTGAGATTGAGTGGTAAGTTGTGCCACAGCTCTAAACTGTTCAAGTTCCAAATCTATAGTGTCCAAGACAACCTAAACTGGGTTTACCTTGCTTCTCAGCTGTTCCTCTATTAATGTTCAGTTTTCCTCCTGCATCATCCACATTAAAGATTTTCTTACAATGAACACGAGAGAAATCTGCAATGGTCCATAGAAAAGAAGATGTCATCAATTCTCCAACTAGCACAACTAAAAACAATGGATAACAAGAAAATAAAATGTGTAGACATTCAAGTTGAATGTTAAGATGTTCAGGAAAAGAAATATACCTACTACCCAACTAAAATCATGAATGTTCTCCATTGATGAAAGTTTGCACACCAATGCAGCCTGATAAGATTTTTGAACGTGTTCCCTGTTACTAGACAAACAATATGTGTATATATGTAGCGGAACAACTGCTGACTTTTTCTTGAGGAAGCTAACTGACAGTACTTCCATATGAACCTCTGTCTGAAAGTATTGAGTAGCAGAAGGCAGAGAATTCTATCCACAATACGTCAGAGCAATCGAGAACTATAATTTGGTCTAATGTTCAATAACCTGAACCAGGCTTTATTTAAGTACAAATCTGACTGGTATGGAACAAGAAGATCCTAATTTGGAATGAACTTTCTATTGAACCCTAATAAGGAATGAAAGGTAGGAAACTGGTTGATTCTCAAACCAACCACTCCTGTTTTTATTAACAATTATCAACAACTTAACTTTCATCATCCGCATCATTATAATGCTCCAAATAAAAGCATAAAGAAATCATTGGGATAAAACCATTTCAAGCAATATATGATTCACAATAAAAGGTATGAAGTCTAGGGAATAAATACACTAAAATAATAAAATTCTTCCATGATTTCCAGAATGAACCATCATTAGCTGAGCATTTGCAACTCACTTCTCATTTTGCCCAAGTTTCAATTGTTTGCTATCTAAGCAAACCAGTTGGATGTGTAAAATCAAAACAATCATTTTGCAATAGAATATAGCCAAAGGAAGTACTGGAGGTTGATTTTTCTTTCTATTTCTCCATTACCTGTTACCAGATTTCACTATTGAAACAATTTATTCATTGCCAAGCAAGAAAAACTACTTGAACCACATCTTAACTTAGAAACATTAAGTACTTCTTAACTTTCTCACGACTGATATCATACAAAGAACTTTTGTATTAAAGTTATAATCACTATCTCAGTGTATTAAAGTTTGCAATACTGAAAAATACAAGCATCAAGTTCTCCTAATTAAGATAGTGCATAACTGAAATGGGATCAGGTTAATTAGCAAACATCTAAGGATAATCTGGACATGCTAATTTGGCTCTTTTGGGAACAATTAACTGACATCAACTTTCAGGTGGTCAATTGTTCCACTGAGAACTTTTTTATTTATGTTATTTATCGTTTTCCCCCAAAATAGAATTGGCGAGGTGTGCAGTTGGGTGCAGCTGGTGTCTGGCGTCTGGCTAGGCGTGGGTGCTAGTGTGTGGCAATGAAGCCTGTACTTGGGAGAATGCCAGCTATGAAGGACAGTTCTTGAGCTTTAGGGTTTTGTTTCAAATCTGACAATAAAGGCCGGTTCAGGTTTTGTAGAGAAAAGCTATAATTTTTTTTTATTAAATTATAACTCTGATACCATGTGGAGAAAACTGTATTCTTATTGGATAATTACAATTGAACCTAAGTGATACTACAACAAATGACAATTCACAATCATGGCAAATCGGTCCAGCAGGTAATAGTCAAATGACTAAACATAAGTTCGAGTTAGACTACATGGGAAGACTGGATATTCAAATGGGCAATTTCCACACTTAAACCTTGAGGACAAGGTTTTTCCAAACGAGGAGAGGTGTCAGGATTTAGAGCAATGCAGGAAAACAAAAGAATTAGTTAGTTAAGTTAGTTGAGAGAAATAAGTTAGCAGGAAAATTTTCTTCTTTTTTGAATTATGTAGTAGTTGTTACCTAGTTGGAACCAGGTACAATTGCAAGCTGGTAATCCAGTTGCCTCTATACCATGGTTGTTGCTATATTGTACCAGTGGCTAGCACCAGTACAAATAAAATTCTCATAATTATCCTATTCTCCCTTGCATCATTCTCTGTTACTCTCTTCTTTCCCCTACTCTCTATCTCAATCTTTTTCTTTGTATGTTGCTTTTTCCAAACCCTAGGATAACCAGCCCACACCCAGGCCAAAGCCTGGCCACCTCATGAATCAATGGTCTAACAAAAGAACATCACAAAAGGAGGTGATTCAAGAGTTAAGCACTCTTGCATAAATAACATCCATTCTCAATAATCTTTCCCCTTTTCTAAGATGAAGAGAATTGAGAGGAAAATATTCTGCTTCTTATTTTCCTTGATGAATGATTCACATATATATACAATTCTGCTGTTTCTAATAATCTAACAAATTCTAAAGAAATCTTAACAAAATTATGGGGAGGAGGAAATCCGTTGGTGACACCCTCCATTTACACAGAACAGAATGTACAGCTCATATAACAAACAAAAAAAAAAAGCTGTACATAAATGTATTTAATCCTAATTTATTCTTCTAATTATTTATTTTCTACACATTTATTGAAAAAATTTCCCCTCATGTTCTGCAAACAAAAAGGGCAACACTAGGAGACAAATTAAGCTTCCATTTATACTTAAGGGAAATTGCAATGGGCAAGAACAAAATGAACTAGGTGCAATACATGTTAAACATGACCGTTAACCTAAATAGGACAAAACATATCTAGGTTTATGGTTCACCGTAAGACTCACAGTTGAACTCGAGACAGTCCCATCAAGGCAACATAGAAGCATAATTTTAACATAATGCAGGATAAATAACAGTATCCACCCATAGAATAATCCAATTATGATGAATTTAAAAAGACCTGATAATCATAAATATTACACAATATAATTGTTCTCCAACAAGAAAATATGCAGGCATCAAAGGTAAGCAAAGAATCAGCTTAATAACTCATTTTTTAAGGGTGAAACCCCTCTTCTGAGACTATTGAAAATCAGATAAATTATAAAGCATAGGCTGTGATTTATACAACCTAATTCTAGTTACTATCTTTTCCTTCTAAGAAAAATGTGCAAATGTCATAAGCTACAAAAGAGAAGTGTGTGCATCAAAATTAACACAAGTGAGGGTGAGATCTAACCAACTGAACAGTTCCTACACTTTCTCAAAAGATCTTCATATACAAATTCCTTCCTCACTTTAGTAAGGCTTTGTTTCAACTTGGATAGTGTCAAAGAGGTTAATTTGATTCCTTTTTCAATCATACCCTCAGCATATTTAACTGCTTCTGGAACCATATCCATACCACAAAGGTCAACAACCAACAAATTACCTGTCTTCTCCAAATCAGAGTCATGATTCTCTATCATGAACTTCCACACCTTTAAAGCCACATAGGCTTCACCTGCATCCATATAATCCCTAACTGCAGCACTACAATTTGCTGCACTTAGAACAAACTCATTTTTTGTCATCTCATTGAATATTGCCAAAGCTTCTCTCAACTTCCTCCTCTTAATCAAGAACTTAAACAAAACATTGTAGATATCTGCATCTGGAAATACCCCATTATAAACCATGTCATCTAACAACTTCATTGCCTTGTTAGTATCATTGGAGTAGCAATATAGAGCTATCATGGCATTGTACATCTTGGTATCCGGCTTGAAGCCTATGCTCCCAATCATTGAGTCCCAAATAAATACAGCCGCTTTAACATCAACTTTCTTGGCGCAGTCCTCAAGTGCAATCTTGAAGAACCTCAGACCAGGGAAACACTTCCTTTCCCTCATGGTCTCAAAGAACTTGATAGTCTCATTTATCCCATTAGGACCATTAAGAAGAGTAATCAAGAACGAATCATAGGCAGGCACATTGCTGGGATCCCAACCTATATCGGCTACCATTTCCGCGAGGGTTTCCTTGGCGCAAGCTGCGTTTCCTTCCTTCTCCCACCCTTCCAGCAGTATGGCATAGGTGTCGGAATCAGGCCTTATCCTGGCCTTGGCCACACGCAAGAAATCCGCTGCGTTCTCCGTCCTACCATCCCTGCACACGGCGCTGAGAAGCGAGTTAAGAGCCACGACGTCCCTAGGACAACCGTACTGCTCCATTACATCGAATGCATAAATAGCGTCCCGGAATCGATCGGCGACGACATAACTGCCGAATACGGAGGCGAAGGTGGCCAAGGAGATAAGGCGCTCATTCCGCATGGACTCGATAGCGTTCCACATGGCATCGAAGAGACCATGCTTACCGAGCAGGTCGACGACTAGATTCCAGGCGTAGGGACTGTGATTGTCGCCCAGCTGGTACCCCGCCCATCGAAAGAACTTCACGACGGCACCTGGAAATCCGTATGAGAGCTTCAGGACCTCTTCGACTTCTCGCTGTGAGACGCGGAAGCCGCTAGCTTCCAGGACCTGCTCGACGGAGGAGGAGGGAGTAGCGGCGATGATTTTGCATATATGTCTAATTTTAGGATCGAGGCCTGGAGCGTCATGGTAGGAGATAAAGACAGGGCACCTAGGTTGGTTAGAAGGAGGAGTTTTGGATGAAGATCGATGGAGCTGCTGCCTCTTCTTCTGGTCTGGAAATGGAGATGGAGAGTGATGGTAATCGCGCTTCCTGTCACTGCTCATATTTACTATTCCTGATTCGCGGACTTCTGCGCTTTAATTGGAATGAATTTCAATCTGCTCCATACACATGGATACAAGGAAGAGGATGCTCGAAAACCCTAATCGGCTTTAGAGAGGTAATGCTCTTCATTGGATTTCAGTAATGGAGGAAACTCCTCTTTTTTTAAAAAAATTCCAAACTATATTAATAATTATATTAATATAATTATGACGTCAAAAATTTATACAAATTGCAAAAAAATAAATAAAATTTGTTAATAATCGAGGTTTTATTTTTAAAAATAATTTAATTGGTATGTCCGTTTTTAAATATTAATAATTATATTTTAACATAACAAAAAATATTAAGAAGTCCATAATTTCATTGAAAAAAACTCTTTTGTCTATAAATTTTTTTATAAAATAGCATATTTTTATTTAATTTTTAAAAATAAATTTTTTTGTAATTTTTAATTATTAAAATAAGATAATTTTTTTTAATTATTAAACTAATTTTTGCTCAAAATTAATTATTTTATTTCAATGCATTTCCTCATGACTGACTTAATTTTAATTTATTTTTATTGGGTAATTTGGTAATATTTAATCTATTATTATAAATTATAATTAATTAGATTTTTAATTAAATAAAAAGCATTGTGACATATTAATTTATTTATCTTTCTACTTATAATTAAAAAAATAATAAAATATTTTAAAAATTATAATAGGCGTGCAACAGCTTCTTCATCGTCAATGGATAGACTACCGGCTTCCAAGACGCAAAGCCCTAGCCCAGGCCTGATATATTAGCGGTTACGTGTTTCTACAAGAAACGTTCAGGGAAAATCCTCAGTACAGTGCAGTATTGCAGTCTCTTCTCATGGAGGAATCCAAGCTCGTCGAAGTTAAAGTCGAGGATGTGATATTAACTCCTGATCAGAACAATATTTGTATTCCGGCTGCCGCTACAGTTTCGTTTCAAGCGCCAGATTCGTCTCAAGTTCAACCACAGCCTCAGACGCAGCCTCAGATCCAGCTTCAAGCTCGTATGGAGATTCAGGTGCAGAGTCAGGCTCAACCGGCAGCTCATACACCGCCTGCTTCTACTCCTACTCGTAAATCCCTACATTATTAAACCTCTGTTTGGTTCACTAGAAACTATAGGAAATCGGATTGTTTTGATTTTATCGAAGCGATATCATATTTTGTTTGTCCCCATTTTCCTTAGAAACACTAGGAAAATGGACGGGTTGCTCGTAAGTTGCTTTTATGTTCCCACAATTGTTTTTATCTCCAGTGTTTCGTTGAAATGGTTTTTTTTTTTTTTGTAAAATAAAATTTCACTGTCTTTTTGGGTATTATCAGGCGTTATTGTGTTCAAATTTTGTTATCTTGTTTCCTTACTTTTTGTTTCGGTATGTTCTTGACTATATGTGTATTTTATTTTTGTCTTTGTGTCTGTTTGCATGCATGTACTCCTGTATTTCTCAGCGATCAAATCGGAATTAAAGATGTTTTTTATTTGTTATTATATCTGGTAGTTGGGTAATTGATTGAAACTTTTATCTGTTTTTTTATCACTTTCATTTTTTTATTTTCTTATTTTATCTTTTGTGAGTTTTTTTTGGTTAGTTAAAGTATATAGTTTGGTGTTCTTTCTGAATTGTTTGAACTGTCCTGCATATAGGAAAGGTGTCTAAACTTTAGCCATCGTGGTCTTGTGTTATCAAGGCTTGTCAATGTGTTCTGTCTTTCTTTGTGATTTGCTTTGCATATTTTTTATTGATCAATATTATGGTTTTAAATGTGCAGCGACATATTTATTTTAGTAATCTTTGATAATTCAGTTAGAACTGGAAAAGGAATTAGCCATTTGCTTCTCAAAGTATTAAGTCAGTCAGAATCCTAACCCCCTGATTGTTAATTCTTCTGTATTCGAGACATCAAAAAGATTTTAAGTGGCCCCTGAGGTGGAAGTTCCGAAACTATTTCCCAAGTTTATCTAGAGATGATAACCCATTGTCATTGTTAGGGAACTTAGAAAACTTGTAACTAGCCTTATTGTCCCATTTTTAAGCAGATGCACACCATAGTAACCACCTCCAGCAGGGAAAGGAGTTGTTTTTCTCATTTTCGACTTAGTGGTTTTCTTGGTTTTCCCAAGTCTCTCTTATTGATGGGTGTTTACGAATATTTGTGTTATACTAATTAGATAGAAGTGTGTGAATGCCCTTTCCTTTCAGGTTATATTTGAAAGTTCTAACCAGTGGTCTCTAGTACTATTGAAACTAGATACAACACCATAAAAGGCTCTCCAAATCTTTTTCTTTCTATGTTGACCAAAAGATGGCATAAGGGATAAGGCGAATTTGCTTCTTCTCATCTTTGTTGAATTGGATGCCATCCCAACTTGCCTTGGAGAGTCCCAACAATCAACTAGATACTCAAAAGGCCCAAGATCGAGCCCCAAAGCCTTCTCCCTTTAGAGCACCATAAAGGAAAATGGTTAGGGTATTTGCAAGAATCAAATTCAGGGGAGATTAATTGATTAAGATGCAACAACTCTTTTTAAACTATCTGGAGATTAATTGATTAAGATGCAACAACTCTTTTTAAATTATCTCCTAGGAAATCAACTAAGGTTTGAAAAAACAGAAAAAAAGAAGAATTCTCAATGCTCATGCGCATTTCCCACCTTTGACTCTTTGATTCCCTTTTCTATTAATCCAAAATTCGCACTTGTGCTAAACATGGGGTTTATAATTATGCTTTGATGTAATTAAGTTTATATGTCTAACATCAAGAACTTAGACCCATAAGCAAGTTGGTTGTACTTATAGCTAACTGCTAAGTCCGCACGAGAGATGACAAAGGTCATGAACAAAGTGATCAGGAATTTGAACATGCTTTTGC